ACTTGTGAGCAGCTTCAAAGCCATCCTGGCTTCTACATCCGACTAGCCTGTGCTCTCGCCCTCCGAAACACTGTTGCAAGGATTCAGCTTACCAACAATGCTCCAAAGGCCTTACCATTAGCTCTGAACGCTGAAAAGCATTTTGGTGGAGAATCAATCAATTCCATGAGGATGCGAACGATCACGCCCTCGCATTGTTTTATATTTTACGATTCAATCATAAAAATTGCTTCCAAATTTGGAATTTTCGGATTTTTATAAGCGTTTCTTATGGTGTTTTTATTGTTATGCCAGCGCCAAAGAGGAAATTTTTGGCCGAAATCAGGTGCATATATAGGGATGGAGTGCGAAGGAAATCTCAAAGACCTCTCTCTTTCCTTTTGATTTCGAAATATTTCTCTGACATTTTTTCACCACTCAAATGACCTACTCCTACTTGACACACGGAGGATTTGCAACATCTGCCTTTCACTCGTTGTCCAGAGACACTTCTGAGCGAGGGCCGCTTTTGCACAAAAGTGTGCGATGTTCTGTTCCGTTTGCGTGCTTGTTCTTAACCGTCGAGGACAAAGCTGGGAGAAACGTCCAGCGCAGTCTTCGAAAACTAGGACAGAAGAGGTTGAGTTCACTGATTTCGGATAGCGAGAACCAGATTCGGATGGGAATCCTTTCAAAAAATTAAGGTGTTCATTTGGAACCAGTTTTGCTTCGCCCGCTATCGCGCGCATCACACGGCAGGCTTTAGCGAAACTGGAGGACCCATGGAATATCAGCATGAGATACTCCATTAACCATCTCACTATTGAATGTGTTAGACCCTCCCAGTTTCGCTGAAGCTCATCGAGAATACGCGTGATAACGTCTGGAGCTGAACTGGTATATTGATCACAACTCTGTAAACATCCAGCATTTTTCTTGAATTCAGATAATTTAGCGGTGAATAGGATTTTATTATTTGCTGAAGAATTGTTTAGGTTTGTGCAGTCGAATTCTATTAAGTAAGCTGGTTATATCAAAACAATGTGCACGTACTACAATTTGTAAATAGGAACGCTCTAGTGTCAACGCTGCGTAACGGAATTGACGACTTCAGCGTTCTGGCGCGCCTTATCGGCCCTTATCAATCGTTATCAGTTTCTGGCACCCACCAACAATGTCCCCGTCCCACCCCACATAACACTTGTAAGTATAGACGCTCTAGTACCAATATGAACGACAAAACGAAATTGGCGATGCTCGCTTTCTAGCCCCTCTTATCAGCTATTATCAGTCGTTATCAGTTCCTATCACGTACCACTTGTGTCCCCATCCCACCCCACATAACACTTGTAAGTATAGACGCTCTAGTACCAATATGAACGACAAAACGAAATTGGCGATGCTCGCTTTCTAGCCCCTCTTATCAGCTATTATCAGTCGTTATCAGTTCCTATCACGTACCACTTGTGTCCCCATCCCACCCCCTATAACACTTGTAAGTATAGACGCTCTAGTACCAATATGAACGACAAAACGAAATTGGCGATGCTCGCT